TATCCAGTTTTCTCAATACCATTTGTTGAAGAGACTGTCTTGCCCCCATTGGTTGGTCCTGGCATCCTTGAAAACATTCGACCATCATATATGAGGATTTATTTCTAAGCTCTCTGTACCACTGGTCTATATTCCTGCTTTTATGGTAGTACCACAGTTTTTTGATTACCATAGCTTTGTAATAAGTTTGAAATTAGGAAGTGTGATACCTCCCATTTTGTTCTTTTTAAAGATTGTTTTGACTACTTGGCATTCTTGAGATGCCACATAAATCATAAAATGTTTTTTTTATTTCTGAAAAAATTGCCATTGTGAATTTTTAAGGATTTTGATGGATAGTAATATTGTTAAAATAGACATTTTTAACAATATTAAGTCTTCCAGTTAATAAACACAGATATCATTTGATTTGTGTTTTATTTAATTTCTTTTAGCAATGTTTAGTTGTCAGTTTGCATGTCTTTCATTTTCTTGGTTAAGTTTAGTTATAAGTTAGTTTTTTCCTTTTGAAATTATTGTAATTGAAATTTTAAAAAAGCTATTTACTGGATTGTTTGTTGTTAGTGTATAGAGAACCTCACAAGATTTTGTATCTTGGAACTGAGATGTACATATTTATTAGTTCTAACAGGGTTTTTTTGTATGTATGTGAAATTTTTAGGGTTTTCTACATATAAGGTCATAAGATCATGTTATCTGCAAATGGAGATAACTGTGCTTCTTCCTTTCTTTTTTGGACCTTTTATATCCTTTTTTTTTATTTTTTGCTTAATTGCTGTGGTTAGGAATTTCAGTACTATGTTGAATGGAAGTGGTGACAGTAGGAATCCTTGCCTTATTTCTGATCTTAGAGGAAAAACTTACTTTCACCATTGAGTATGATGTTAGCTATAGGATTTTCATATTTGGCCACTATATTTTGGTAGCTTCCTTCCTCCTCGTTTTTTAAGGGTTCTTATTATGAAAAAATGCTTTTTATTCATTGATTGAAATGATCATGTGGTTTTGTCTTTCATTCTATCCATGTAGAATACCACATTAATTGATCATTGAATACTAAACCATCTTGAATTCCTGAAATAAGTCCCACTTAGTTAGGGTGTACAGTTCCTTTAATATGCTGTTAAATTTGGTTTGCATTTTATTGAAGATTTTCATATCAATTTTATTCAAGATTATTGGCCTATAGTTTGCTTTTGTTTTCTTCTTATAGTATTTTTGTCTGGTTTTTGTGTCAAGGTAAATATGGCCTTATAAATTGAGTCAGAAGGTGTTCTCTCCAATTTTTTGGAAGAGCTTGAGAAATGTTGGTATTAGTTCTTTAAATATTTGATAGAATTTTATGTTGAGGCTTTTCTCTGTTGTGATTACTGACTTAATCTCTTACTAGTTATTGGTCCTTTTATTTATTTTATATTTTTTATTTTTTCATGATTCAGAGTTTGTTAGTTGTATGTTTCTAGGAATCTATCCAATTTGTTTTAAACTCTTGACCACATTCTCTTCCCATCTGAATCTGGATTACTCCTTGGAACCTGACTTTGTGGGTTCCCAAGAGCTTTCCTTAGTAAAAAATCTTTGCTAATGGCTTGGTAAGGTTCATCAAAGAGGGCATACCATCTTGTGAGCAGCTGCCTTACTCACAGAGATACTATAATTTTTAATACAAGAAGCCCATTTTTTTTTATAAAAAGCTACCACAGAACAGCTACCCTCAAGGAAGAGGTATTGCTTTTTCAATTTCTGCTCTCTTGTACTTCTATAAAGTAGAAAGGTAAACTTGATCTAAAATAAATATGTTGGCTATATAAAATAAATATCTTAGATGCATGTTAAATAACAGTAAAATTTTGAAGATTTTTCTCCTGTATTAAGTGATGGCCTATGTTTATATTCTAAATCCCTGAGAAAAAATGATGAAAAGCAGATACTCTTCTGTTCAAATACACTAACATTTGTTGAGTATCACCATACTCACATTATACTTATTGGAGATTCTTAAAAAGTAGCTTAACTACTAAACTAATTGCTTCATCTTGAACATATATAATTTTGATTAGGAGGTGCCAATGTTAGAGTAGCTATGGAATGATGGTGACATTTTGGAGCAAAAAAGTGTGGAAAACTAAATACAAATTTACAATCATTAATAGAAAAATGAGCCAAGATCACTTGAATACTCCAAAGCAAGTGTATGTAAGCAACACTGCCTTAGGTTCCAATGCAGGCCCTGTAGTTTTGGAATATCTATGGCAGGGTGATATTCTTTTATTGAATTTAACTGACTGACCTTGTTTCCTTTCCTTTAGTAATATAAAATAATCTAAGGATATAATAAAGCATTTGAAGTATCTAATCATTTATTTCACTGTGTTTTCCATTATAACATTAAGACGTCTTTTTTCTTTAAGTTTTAAGGGGCTTTATATTTGGCAATATTTATCTAATCAACTCAATTTTTTAAAATCTTCATTTTTCTTTTAACTCTAGAGTTAGCTTATAGCAAAAAATATTACTACTTTAATAAATGTTTGGATATGCTTTAAACATTTAAAATTCTCAACTGAGTCACTGTTGCAGAGCTGAGTCATATTATCTGGGAATTAATGCTGTTTTTATGCATAGCATTAACCTCCAAATTACAGCGAAGCAAAATATTTAAAGTCCACTATTGTATTCTTAGTATCTAAGATTTAGTTAACCTGTATTAGTCTTTGATAGATTAATGTTCAATAAATGCAACTCATGACAAATTCCACACATTGTGTTCATAATAGCATATTCTAATTAATGGAATGTTGATACTGCACTGAATCGGTCTTCTTGGTATTTTTTGCTGTTTTCTCTCTGCCTAACGTTTTAGCACTGGAGCATCCTGAGCCTCACCACTTTGGACCTATTTCCTTCATTGCCTACAGGCATTTCCTCAGTGATGCAGTCTTACTTGATTCATGAATTTATCTATCATATTTATATAAGTGAATCACAAATTATACAGACCAGACATCTCTCCTAAACCCCATACTACTTTAGCAGACTGGCTATTCAATATCTAGAATTGAATTTCAAACAGATGATTCATACTTAACATTTGCAAAACTGAACTGCTCGTTCTCTCATATCTCTTTCACTTGCAGCCCAGTGATGGCAACTCCATTGTGAAGATTGCTCAGGCCCCAAACCCAAAGACTCATCCTTTATTTTTTTTCTTCTTCTTGTACCCCATATTTAACCTTTAGGACATCATGGTGGTTCTATCTTCTTCAAACTGTCCCTGAATCTGACTGGATGATTATGTATACAAATATAAAATACTTAAGGCTCAAAGAAGTCAAGAGAACAACAGCTTACCTTAGTAAGAGATAAAGTCAGAATTCAAATTTATATTTTCTGACAAACCACTTTCCATAATACTGGTGCTTCTCCAAAGTAAATGTTATAATTGCCTTTTATTTATATATTCAATGGTTCAGAAATATAACTTGACTTGTATAACTGAGTATTTATGAATAGTATTAGTTATTTCAATTACTTTCTGTAGGACTTTTCTTGGCTCATAGTGGTTTTTTCATAAATACTTGCAAACACAGTTGAATTGACTAGTCCTTATCTGCCCTAGTATTTTGTTCTGACCATGTTTCCAATTGCAGGGTATAAGTGTGTACAGGATGAAAGAAAGGGGGGGTATTAATGAAATAAAATATTCAAGGTCTTTTTGAAATATAAAGGTCTTTAAAATATAAAGCTCTTTTTCAAATATTTTCTTGCTGTATCTCTGTGTATTTAGAACACATATTAGCTTTTACCATTTATGTATAAATCCTTTTTTATTTCCTGGAGTTTTCATGATGTGTAATGTTGAACATTTAAACTTAGATTGTGGAATTATTATTTAAATTATTTATTTTGTTTTTTATTTAACCTTTGTTGCATTTTTCCATTACCATTTAGTCCTATTATACTCCCCTCCCCCCAGCAATCACCATGCTGTTGTTCATTTCATGAGTCCTTTTTCTGGTTTGCTCCATCCTCCACCCCCTAATCTCAGGGGCTTTGTATCAGAGGCATATTTTTTTTTATAACTAAAATCTACTAGATCCTAAGTTCCTCTAATAGATTATAATGGCAAAAAGAAAACAAATTTCACTGTTGATATGGTTGTTGAAGCATCCCCCTTTTTCCCTGATGTACTGCTTGTATTTTAATGGAAGTTATTTGTGTTTATGCATTATAATTCAATGTGGCACAATAAAGTGTGTTAAGTTGAATTTTGCTGAGGTTGATTGATATTCTTAAAAGAAGCCAAGATTAAGCTTTTGGGAGATGTACACTGTGCCTGTTAATGTGACATATTTGGAAAGCTGATCACTGTATTTCTTCTTTTTATATATGTGTAGAATATTTATCTGTGTAACAGATTTTAAGTAAAGAGCACTTGGAACCATTAATTCATCTGTTTTTCCCCTTTTCTAAATTTGTATTATACTTTTCTGTTTTGTTATTCTATCAATTTGTGTTATTTTGTTCCAAGCATGCAATTGTATGAATGTTTAATCCATAAAAGCAATTTCATATCTCAAATTCTATATATCTGTTCATTTACTTACCTACCTACCTTTGCTCAGATAAAAAATATTTAACACTGATTCATTTTCAAAATATTCTTATAGGCTTTGAAACTATCTCTTAAAGCAATGAGATGATATATGAGGCACTGAAAACAAAAACTATGTCTAGTAATTACTCCCTGTGATGACTGAGCGAGTTAGAGATGTATGGTAACTGCAGCTGTAATGTCATGTATTTAGAAAGGAAATTTAATTTGCTACTTTTTAAAAAATATATGTTGGCAAACAAATATCAAATGAAAATTCAAAACAGATATTTTTGTAATATGTGTTAGCTCTGTTACCATTTGCACTGATGGATGTCTGTGGACCTTTAATCTGTGTAATAAACTCTGACCAACTGACTGTATTACTGTCTTTTCTTTTTTATAGTGTATGCCCATTAAAGGCCTCGGATTTGTGCTTGGAGCCTATCAATGCATTTGCAAAGCAGGATTCTATCATCCCCGAGTCTTCTCAGTGAACAAGTTTCAGAGTAAGTGCTGTTCACTTCTGTGCATATACCTGAGTACACATAATGTCTACCAATATCAATTATTCATATTTTTTAAACTTGTTGGAGTTTTATGATTGAATTCCCATGGGGTCAGCATTCTTTCTTCACTTAAAGGGTTTTTACTTTGGTTTGTCATCCACAATACTCTGGAGTACAACAAAAATACAGTAGGGCAAAAGTAGGTTTACAATTGTGAGTCTGTGAAACAGTTAATAAAGCAATTTTAATAATAATAATCTGGATGTCTTCTTTCATACAAATAACTTTAAACCTACTTTTACCCACCACTGTATGTTTATTTTTGGTATTTTAGTTTTCAGTACATATTAAAGTTCTGAAAAATTCTATAGTTAATTGGTAAGACTAACTGGGGTTCTGTATTAAAAGCTGTTGCTGCAGAAAGTTTCTAAAACTAATTTTGCTAGTTTGTTTATTTTATTTATCAATTTGCTTATATATTAGTGCTCTATGCTGCATAAAGAATTACTACAAGATTAACACTTAAAACAACACAAATTTATTGTCACAGTTTTCATTGGTTAACCTTCTAGTCAGGCATTTGCCTGGTCCTGTGCTCAAGGTCTCACCAGGCCAACATCAAGGTGTCACCTGGGATGTGATGTGATCTGAAGGATCTTCTTCCAAGCTCATTGAGTTATTGGAAAAACTGAATTCCTTGCAACTGTGTGCCTGAGGTCCCCATTTTCTTACTAGATGTCAGATTGGGCTTATTCTCAGCTCCTGAAAGTCTCCTCAAGTCCAAGCCATGTGATTCTCACAATGCTGCAGCTTACTTCTTCAAGGCTAGCAAGAGCATCTTGCCAGTCTGCTCAGATGAAGTCTTACATAACAATGTAATCATGGGAGTGACTATCCTATCACATAATGTACATTCAAGAGGAGGTGATTGCACAGGGTGTATATCCCAGAATCAAAATGCGATCATCTGGGAATTTTATTCCTACTCCAGAAAATGTCAGTGTTACAATTTGCTTCTAGCCAGTTACCAGATATAAATAACTCCTTATATCAGATATAAGGAGTGGTAAAAGGGGATGGTTTCATGGGGAGTTAAGGTTTATGGTTGCTAAAAATGAGGAACAGGTATCTTTTAGATAGTGATCCAGAAGTCTTTGCCAGTCTGATTTTTGTCTGTATAGGAATTTGCATCTCTACTAGGTATAGTTTTAAAGAGTGTATTGAGATTGAGACCTGAGGGTCTTATTTTTGTAGACATTTATAGTTTTTTTTTCTCTTAAAAATATAACTTCTGGTCTTGAGATTGCTTACATTTAACTTTTAGATTCTGGAGGTGAGTAACTTTTTGTACTTTCCTTAGGCATAAAGCTATCAGAGTTCAGCTCATGTTCTGCATGATGGTTGTCGTGGGTATGATTTTAAGATGGCTTTCAAGATTCTGCTTTCATACATGCTGTATGATCCCTCCATGTAAGTGTAGGTGGCCCCTGTGAATGCAATGGACAGTCACCCTCTTGTTTAGACCATATCATGTAGCAAAGGTGATGATACAGTTACTCTTGTGATTACATTGTATTAAGTAAGACTCCTTCCCATTAGTAGCCGAGTGCAGAGGGATTCCAGTGCTGGTTTTGAAGAAGTAAACTATCTTGTGGTGAGAGGGTCGTATGCTAGGACATGAGCATGGCCATTAAGAGCTAAGAGCTAAAGGCAGCCAGCAAGAAAACAGGGACCTCAGTTCTGCAACTACAAGGAACTGTATTCTTCCAACAGCCTGACTAGCTGGAAAAGGACCCTGAGCTACAGATGAGAATACAGCTTGGCCAAAACTTTGATTTTTTAGAGAGACCCTGAGCAGAGAACCCAGTTTAACTGTGCCCAGACATCTCATCAACAGGAACTGGGAAATAATAAATAGGCATTTATTTATTATTATAGTAATAAATGACTAACTCTCAAGTAATTTATTATACAGCAATAAAAAAGTAGTATAATAGCAATGATGATAACATGCTTTTAGTATGGGTATGCTCTTTCCTTGTGTGTGTGTGTATATAGTAAACCATGGCAATATCAGATCTACTTTGGCATTTTTCACATTTATGGTCCAGACATAACATATGATTCAACACAAGGACTAAGGAAATAGGTTTTAGCTTATGTTCTGTGAAGGTATTTTGTATCTGGTTTACCCACATTTGTTCTCAGCTCCCACTGTGTGACTGAAATAAAACATCTAAATATTGTAGAGCCAGAGAATGACTATAGCATTTGCTTGTAACACCACCAGGAGAAACTAGTTAACCTTTAACAATTTATCTTTATTTAATTTGCACACTCCTACTTTCTTCCTTATTTTAAAGGCAGTGTTTTTCACTGGACCTCCTCTCTGTAAGAAAAGGCTGCTTGTCTGCATAAGTCTAACTCTCGTGCTGTACACATTGCAGCCATGAAAAAGAGACCACAGTTTTCAGAAGGAGGATCTTTATTTGGGCATAGATGTGATTCAGCTTTGACCTCAGCACATGCTTAACCAGGACTGACCTTCCTCAATGACAGAGCAGAAAGCTAGGTACAGGTTATAATTTGAAGTGAGTAAAGCACTCTTTGCCCAAAATATCTTTCCTAATGTCTTGTCAGGTTTCATGAAAATCCAACTTAACTCATTCCTTGTCCTAATGAAAGAACATAAAAATCTGACCAAAATTGTGAGTTATAACTCACCAGCATCATCTATCAAAGACTGTTCTAACATTACTTATATTTTTGGTTTATTATTACAATATTTATTCTATTTTTAATATACCAAGCCTCTTAATTATAGTATCTGGGAAGTTCATATGGGCAGTTGTTTTTACTGTTCTTGAGGAGGTACCCCTGAAGTAAGGAATATCCAAAAGTAAAGGAAGCATTGAAGAACCTCAAAATGAGATGACACATGTAAAATTGCTACCACAGTCCATGGGACATAAATAAGCAAATAAACAAAAGAACACCAAATACACATACATAAACAAAAATCAGTGATGTATGTAAACAGATAATCCTTAAGCACCATTGGTCAATAGCACCTTACCAAACATATTTTCTTATATTAAAATAACAAATTTTTAAAGCCAGGGCTTTTGGAGAATGAATTCTCCATGGGTCAGAAGGAAGATGGGACAGCAAGAGTCTGTAACAAGCACTGCTGCACTGAGAAGCTTAACAGGAGGAATACTAGGGAGCATAAAGCAACAGGGGAAATTAGTGCCTGACAGGGAAAATGGGTATAGAAAGCAGAAGAGATGTACCTTAAAGATCAAATGTACTTAATTTGCAGTTGTAAATCTAGAAAAAGACCTGGAAGTCTCACGTCTATTACAGTCCTGTATCCCATTTACTCAGAGAAGCCCAGATATGGTGCTGATCTGTTAGACAAAATGTAAATGTGATTGTTAAAAATCCTGTTAAAATATGAGGTGATTTAAATTCTTTACTTAAATCTAGGCCCACAGTAAACAAAGGGCTTGTAAAGACCAACAAGAATTTGAAATGACATGATTTAAAATTGTGCTGACAGCCCCGAGACCGTATTCCTGGCATCCCTCTCGAAACTGGTCCTCAGATGAGAGCTAATAAGATCTGGCATCTGGATAGTAGTGGGATTTCAGAGTAACCAGGTGCTGATGTATAACTGTCTTTTCAAATCCAGGTTGTTCACCTCCAGGTTGATGAAATACAAGCTTATGACAGGCTCAACTTCCTTAAATCCATCTATTTTAGTACGAATTTTGTCATCAGTGAAATTCCTTTGGTTTTATGGTGACACATTACCAGCCTTTCAGGCATACCTCTCATCTTTGGATTGACTTCGGCTCATGTACACTTCCAGACAGACCTGATTTACAAATGTCCCGTACCTAAAACTGACAATTCCTGCTTTGTCAACTCTAGTGCTATTGATCATGGGGGAAAAATGACAAAAAATGGAGGACTTTAAAACTGTGAGGTCTTTGACTAAAAAGAAGGGAAGTTTTTGAAAGCAGGTACAAAATAGGGATGCTGAGCTCTACGCAAACTCTGTAGTGAAGCTAACCTGTTTCTGCGATGTGTGTCTTTTTATTGTGCTTGATTCTCACACTCCCTATCTGTCTTCCATTACATGGCTAGAAAGCTTGAGGTGTTTGACTTTCAGATGAAAACTGCTTGAGCATCAGAGTCTCATAATTGGCATAGTGCCTTTTGCTATTGGTCTTATGCCTTGAGATCCAGTTCACTCTTGCTATATTGCCAAAACTTAGTCCTTATCGGTTTTACTCTAACTGGAGTAGCAAAATTCTTTATCTAAACTGCTGGGCTTATGTGTTTGTCTCAGTATTTCCCTAATTTTCAATTTTCATAACTTCTTTCATGTGTCCTACCTGTAAGGTTTGGGGTCCAGTCAGTAAATACATCTGGCAGATGAAGTTAGGTGCCAGTGGAAGAGTGCCCAGGGCTGCCAGTCTTCTTGAACTATTGACTATTGCATTTGTCTTATTTGTCTTTGGCTGTGTTCTTTTCAATTATTGGAACATACTTCATACCATGTTGGACTTCCCTAGCTGGTAATCTCAGATAAATTTCTACCATATTTTAGCACAATGATTAAAAACATGATGTTAATCCTGGTTCTATTATTTATATGCACTGTGTTAAATTATTAATCTTTCCTAAACTTTATGCCATGTATAAAATTGGTGTAATATCACTTACTTTATACAGTTATATGGATTAAATGAAATAATAAATGTAATGGTAGTTGTTACATATCATATGATCAAAAATATTATTATTTTTATGATCATTATTTAAAATCTTGTGATTATTCTGTTTACCCCTTTTCTCAAATATTCCCATTTTTTCTTTTTCATCTAGTATCTGCTCCACTTCCCAGAAGAGGGACATATTTCCAAGTCCCCAATTTTTTCAGTTTAGTTAGTTCAGTTCAGTTTTCTTAGAATAGGCCTCATATATAATAC